GCGAGCTGCCGCTTAGATGCTTGTATGTGCCCGGGCTGTTGATGGGTCTGTATGCAATGATGGGCGTAGCTGCGGGAAGTTTATTGTTTGTTGTTTTTTGTTGATGAGTGAGTATAGGGGTGGGATTTAATAAGTTTTCTTCGTCCCACTCCTTTTCAGGCAATTTTTGTTTTTTGTTTTGTGTATTTATGTTCAATATAGGTATTTGTTGTGCCTGAAAATGAACAAATGAATGAATGAATGTTGTCTTTTTAAAACCTTTCTGAGACACACACAACACTTTTAAAAAATTCTTTGGCAGTATAATAATCATAATGTAAAGGGGAAGTCTGATAAACATGTGTGCGTGCATGTTTGTATGTATTCCAGCAGGTTTGGCTGGATCCATTTCCAGTCGCAGCCATGTGCCCTTGTGCCCCAGGCTGTGCTCCGGCTCATCAGCCTACATTCTTGCTCTCGGGCTAGGCTTTGTAACACTGGGGACCAGCCGCATCCTACTTCTGAAAATGTCTGCCAGTGCCGGTGATTACCTGACAGTAAACACATGCACACAACTTTTTTTTCCACATCTGGATAAAAAGATTAAAAAACAGTGTTAATTTTTCTGGCGTGCATTACAGTGATGTGTTGGCAGCTTGCTCAGTACGTGTCTTCACATTTTGTTCTGTTTGCAGAAAACAAGTATGACTTCCTCCCAGCATCTGTAAATCTGCTTGCTGAGGCTCTTAAACTGCACTTTTGTCTGGTCATGTCAGTCAGGGTCATAGTCCAAGGTAAACTTGATAGCATACTGCTGTTCTCATTTGAAGTCATGCTGTTGTCTAAAATTGTTTGCCTCATTCTGATGTCTTTTCAAAAAAAGGTTGCCATGGTTACACGGCCTGAGGTACATCGCCATTCTGAAGCTGGTTGGCACAGAGTTGCCAGATATGGGCGGAGTCTTGGAGCTCTATCCTATCAATGGTAAGAATTTTTAATACAAATAGTGAACAGATATATTTCTGAAAGCTAAGGTCTCTACTTTTTTGGTATCTGAGTTCAGTGTGATAAGTTTAGAGGAAGAGGAAAATGTCGATGTGCTACATCTATTGTGAAATTCACTCTTTAATAGGTTGTTCCTAACCTGATCCTCTGGTCCATCCAGGGAGTGCTACCGTGGAGCGTGAAGGGCTCTCAGCTACCCTCGTGAAGGACATGAGAACTACTTCCAAATCAGCCCAGAATACTTCTCCATGCTGCTGGTGGGAAGGACGGCAATGTTAAGTGCTGGTACCCTCACCCATGTGGTCCATGGCCATTATCTATGACCTGGTAGACTCTATGCAGCTCCGCAGACAGGAGATGGCCATCCAGCAGTGCTTGGCATGCGCTGCCCTGAAGACGAATATGGTGGCTATGGTTACCATCATCATGGATACGAACACGGTTATCAGGATGGCTATCACCAGGGGTATGGTTACTAACAGGTGTGTGCTTTCCAATGATGCACACTGGCCTGCAGCTGGTCCTTGGTGCTTCCTTTGGCCCAAAACCTTTTTGTGTCTTTCCCATCACTTAGTGAAGGGAAGAAAAATGCTTTCAGAAATGGATTGCATACTTTAGTTTTTGCTGTTTTTTTTGTTTGGTTTTTTTGTTTGTTTCAACTTAAAACATTATTGCATCGTCTGTCATCTCTAACAGGCTTTTTTAGGTCAGACTTGCATAGTTTCAGCACACACGTTGATTTTGTAGATAATAGAACATATTTATTGGACATCTGTTGCATTTGAAGTGCAGTTACCAATAATATTATTAAAAGCATCACATTATTTCTCTTTTGTAAAGTTTCTGTTGCTATACATTGTTTCTATTTATTCTTTGTTTCTATATGGCTATATGAAAATAAACATTTGTTTACTACCAGGTCCTTTAAATTATTTGTCTCACTTTCAGTGCCAATGCGCTGCAACAATCTTTTGAGCAACACCTCCCCCTAGTGGCAAAACTGGAAAAATATTTCCAAGTATATTTTAGTGGTCATGTAATGATTGAAACAACCTGCCGTACTTGTAATATCTACAGTAGTTTCAGACCTTCTCAACTTACTGTCCCCTCAATGCAATCACAGTTGTAAAAACACTTTGCGAGTAAGAAGGGCTGGAATCCACCTACCCATTTTCTTCCACTTATCCAATTAAGGGCATGGGGAGGCTGGAGCATCTCTCAGCTGCCATAGAGCAAGAGACAGAGTTTGTATTAAACATGGCCAAAGTGTATGTACAAGTGAGTCTTGTTCATTTAAAGCTTAGACCTCAGACTGCGTTACAGTCTCCTTTCTCTTGGATCTGTATAATGTTAGTGGGTGTGGAACACTGTTATTCAGCAGGTGGGTAAAATATCTAAGAGTTGGCTTAAAGGAACTGATAGGGAGCTAAAACAGCTATCAAGCATGTGCAAAGTAATAGAAGAAAAACATGGAGTTAGAGCAGCTAGTACCCTTTAGGTCTTCCTCCAGAAAACCTCAGTATTTAAATAAATGCATATAAATTTATGACAAGACATCAGCGATTGTATTAAATTGCATTACTTGCACAGAAGTAAAACAACTTGCCATTTATTTTACAAGAAAATGCATTCACACGTGAGGATTTTAATGGCACAAACAACAATCTTTAGACAATGTTATTTTACAGTTTAACAAGAAAATATTCAAGCCCCAAGTAAGAGAGGCAGGGAGTTTGTGGTGCTGACAGAAAGTCAGGCATTAGTGGCAATTATGTCAATACCACTTATTCTGGCTCAGAAAATAAACAAATAAAAAAATAAACTGCCTCTTCCACAGTACAATACAAACTGAATTCATCATAGTGTGGATAAAGATTCAAAATCACCACAATTTCAAACAAATCTATTATCAAAACAATCCTGAAACTGCAGTTTCTGGTCCTTAGACGTCCAGCACCAGCAAGCAGTCAAATAGCAGCATGTACAACAGGAATCATGTAAAGAAATACACTGTCCATAAAAGGAATCCATAATGAATCCAAAAGTATCACTTATTTCCAACAAACAGCGTTGCTGGTACTTTCCCCCATATGAATGACAGCAGTCATCCACAGACAGGCACGTTTCCAAAATATACACATTTCGCTAATTCTGTTATTAAACACTTTGTTTTTAATACTAGGAGTCTATCATATAATCTATCAACAGTATCTTTCACCGTTTACCTGCTTATCACTGTTCAAATAAATGCTTTCACAGACAATCTATTCAATTCAATTCAATTCAATTTTATTTATATAGCGCCAAATCACAACAAAAGTCGCCTCAAGGCGCTTCATAGATACAGAGAAAAACCCAACAATCATATGACCCCCTATGAGCAAGCACTTTGGCGACAGTGGGAAGGAAAAACTCCCTTTTAACAGGAAGAAACCTCCGGCAGAACCAGGCTCAGGGAGGGGCGGCCATCTGCTGCGACCGGTTGGGGTGAGAGAAGGAAGACAGGATAAAGACATGCTGTGGAAGAGAGACAGAGGTTAATAACAGATATGATTCAATGCAGAGAGGTCTATTAATACATAGTGAGTGAGAAAGGTGACTGGAAAGGAAAAACTCAATGCATCATGGGAATCCCCCGGCAGCCTACATCTATTGCAGCATAACAAAGGGAGGATTCAGGGTCACCTGGTCCAGCCCTAACTATATGCTTAGAAAAAAGGAAAGTTTTAAGCCTAATCTTAAAAGTAGAGATAGTGTCTGTCTCCCGAATCCAAACTGGAAGCTGGTTCCACAGAAGAGGGGCCTGAAAACTGAAGGCTCTCCTCCCATTCTACTTTTAAATACTCTAGGAACAACAAGTAGGCCTGCAGAGCGAGAGCGGAGCGCTCTAATAGGGTGATATGGTACTACAAGGTCATTAAGATAAGATGGGGCCTGATTATTTAAGACCTTGTATGTGAGGAGCAGGATTTTGAATTCAATTCTGGATTTAACAGGAAGCCAATGAAGGGAAGCCAAAACAGGAGAAATATGCTCTCTCTTTCTAGTCCCTGTCAGGACTCTTGCTGCAGCATTTGGATTAGCTGAAGGCTTTTCAGTGAGTTTTTTGGACATCCTGATAATAATGAATTACAGTAGTCCAGCCTGGAAGTAATAAATGCATGAACTAGTTTTTCAGCGTCACTCTGAGACAGGATATTTCTAATTTTAGAGATGTTGCGCAAATGGAAGAAAGCAGTCTTACATATTTGTTTAATATGTGCGTTGAAGGACATGTCCTGGTCAAAAATGACTCCAAGGTTCCTCACCGCGTTACTGGAGGCCAAGGTAATGCCATCCAGAGTAAGAATCTGATTAGATACCATATTTCTAAGATTTTCAGGGCCGAGTACAATAACCTCAGTTTATCTGAATTAAGAAGCAGAAAGTTAGCGGCCATCCAGGTCTTATGTCTTTAAGACATTCCTGCAGTTTAACTAATTGGTGTGTGTTATCTGGCTTCATGGACAGATAGAGCTGGGTGTCATCTGCATAGCAGTGAAAATGTATGCTATGTCTTCTAATGATACTGCCTAAGGGAAGCATGTATAATGTAAACAGAATTGGTCCTAGCACTGAACCCTGTGGAACTCCATAATTAACCTCAGTGTGTGAAGAGGACTCTCCATTTACATGCACGAATTGGAGTCTATTAGATAGATATGATACAAACCACTGCAGCGCAGTACTTGTAATACCTACAGCATGTTCTAATCGCTCTAATAGGATATTATGATCAACAGTATCGAACGCTGCACTGAGGTCTAGCAGGACAAGCACAGAGATGAGTCCACTGTCAGAGGCCATAAGAAGATCATTTGTAACCTTCACTAAAGCTGTTTCTGTGCTGTGCTGAGCTCTGAAACCTGACTGAAACTCTGTGACCATGTTCCATCCAGTCAATTGTCCAGTTCGATATCAGCAGCAGGAAAGATGCAGAGTATCCTCTGGATACTTGGGAGTGAGCTCTGTCATTACTACAAGGACTCTTCATCAGAAACACTGTCTGCATTTACCTTTGTCAGGAGCTCGAGCTCCTCACTGTCCTGCAACACAAAAAAGAGACAAGGCATCAGAATGAATGAACAAGTGATCAAATCCAGTGGACAAATCTGCAGACATTGAGGCACTGTGCACATCTTTTTTCTGTTTTCAGAAAGTGGAGGGCAGTATTTACTCCCCGAAAAACACGGGGAAGTACCGTGCATTTTAAAGCCACGGCTGCCAACGGAGAGGGTATTTTTGTTAGTGCTCTAGCAAAGAAACAAACACCTGAAACTGGCATTTCACCTGATTTACAGGGTTTCTTCAATACAGAACAGGACGCTGGGGATGAAAAGAATTCCAGGATAGTATCCCCACAGACTACTGTATTGTTAAATAGCTTCTTCCATCAAAAACACTTGACTACTAAAGGAATTCTATGACGTAAGGCTCCAGCATGAGCTGGATGCTATTTTCATAGCTGGGAATCAGGTTTCCTCTTGCACTCAAGAAATGAATTACAGAGAAACAAGAGCCAAGTTTCCTGCAGAGCACTTGGTATGTGGGCGGGAGTAGAGGAAGTGGATATACATCGGGGTTAGGTGAGCGAAGTTGTGTGAGGAAAAGGAGTGTGTGGGCTTGTGTGCGTGACTACTGAGGATTTGTGGTTTGTCTCCTACCCCTCTTGACCTCTCAAACACCTCCCCGTTGATGACCCGTAGTTTCTCCCGCTGCAGGCTATATTCCAGGTCCTTGGGCCAGCTGGCATTGTAGATAAAGATGGCCAGCAGGACCGTGGGTGCCTGGAGGAAGAAGTCCAGCGAAGGGTGGAAGTCAAAGAGGAAGAGGGAGAGGCCTGTGACCAGAACAGTAGTGAACTGGCCAGTCAGCACATGGAACATGTTGTCTCTGAATTTTAAGATGAAGGCCACGGATAAGCCCAGGGCAGCTAGGGAGAACACAGAAGATTATGAGTTCTTCAAATGCATACTAGAGATAGATAAATGAACTAGTCCGGTTAATAACAAATTACACCCAGCAGCTGGATTAGTGTAACTTAGCATGATGCCAGAAGCAGGACCAAATACCACCAGGCTCTGTTCAAAGCATAAACAACTCAAGTACCAGCAGCTTACAAGATCACAAGTTAAGATGATTTTGTCTGTAGACGACAGAAATTGTACAAAGTAGTGGTTTGCATGCTACAGTCTTTTGGAGCCCCCACCCCAACCCCTCCTCTATTTACGCCAGCTTTCATCTGATTGGCTGCCCTACATCTGAGCTTCTACAAACAGAACCAGGTGCTGCACCACTTCCTCTGCTTATCAATTTGACAGACTTCCTTCAACCCAGCCATGCCTTCCAGCTCATCCTGGAGGACACAGTATTCCCCAAGCCCGCTGAGACCTCCTCCCAGTAGGACATGGCCAAAAACATCTCACCTACCAAGGAGTCCAGGAGGAATCCTGGTTAGATGCCCCGAGTACCTCAACTGTCTTCTTTTGATGAACATATTTCTCTTCCTCAAGAAACTTATATAATCCACATGGACATGTTTGCATATAATTCAAAGCAGCAAACTAATTAAATTAAATTAAATTAGAGTGGACATCTCCAGCAACAGAAATGACAGTAGGAGATCTCAGTTCAATCAACATCACACTTATGCCTGCTTGATATTCATCTTCCAGTCATATGCTGTATAAAACAGTATTCAAATGTCCCTCTGATGTGAGAATGATGCACTACAGTGCTGACTGAAGTTATCAATCTTGTGATAGGCAGAAACACCAAAAGTTAAAAATGGAACAGTCAGGTCACTAAACTGCTGAGACTGGAGTGGGGCTGGTGGAAACTGTGGCAGACCAGGGCACTGAAACATAGACAGACGGTTCTTTTGCAATGAAAACCATAAACACCCATGCTCCCGGTAGGTTTCCCCTGTGTCAGCTGTTTACATTATAGGTGCTTATACAGTAACCATGGTAACCACGGACTCTGAGCGGCTGGCTCGACGAAGGTCAGACAACAATTTTACATATATGATCTTCAAACAGGACACAGCCATTATCCGTCCTGGCCTCATATCAAATGTGAACGCAGACTGAGTCTATGTTTGACGTTTGCTTTATATCTAATCTTCCTCTCAAACATTTAAACAGCAGCGAGTCTGCAGCTGAGGGAACACAAACTCAAATTGTCGGAACAGGTTTGCTCGTTTCTTGCGTGTATTCATTTGGTGATTTATTAAATGTGTAACTGTTATTCTAATCTGCTGCTGAGTCTCTTACGCTGATGAAAATGCAGAAAAACACAGATCACGAACACCTGTTCAACCAATCACTTTCATTCCACTTTGATCTGCGACAAACTGACGGTTCATCTCTGTTACAGTGTTGCGTTAGACTGCTATATTTTTTTGTTCTTTATGCTGTAGATTTTCACGTCTCTGGAATAGTTGGCAGTAATAAGGATGATCTTCTGTAAAATCATATTGATATGACCCGTGACATATTCGTAGATGTCAGTTTAGACTAGTCAGCTGGGAAACTGTTAACTCAGAGCTGAAGATATCGTGGATATGCTGACCTCGCTCCGTGGTGTACAGGTCCGTTTACCCTCATGATTACTATTCACAATAAAAATATTAGCCGAACATCATGAAGTCTGTATGTGTTTCATAGTGTCGAACAACCTTTGTACAGTTAAGCCAGCAGTTACTACATGACGGAAACACCAACATTATCTCATTTATACGTTTATACGCAGGTCACGCTGATTACTGAACAAAAACCCAAAGATCAGCTGTTAATCAAATTTATTTGCTCTCTCTCCTCCTTAAACATGTTTTTAATGTTAGTTATAATTCAGAATTGGCGACTGAACATCAGGAAATAAAACCCCGATAAATATAACCTCAGTAAAAGAAGTCAGTGTCAGCGGGGGTTATTACAGCTGTGTACCGGGGCCTGCGCTTTGTCAGTGGTAATAACAACTTGATTGCTTGCGAGGCAAACGGGTCTATCCTGGGCAGACATCTCCAAAATCATCGAAGCACTTTTGCAAAGAGGCTGTATCTTGACAAACCGACCAGACATATGAAGATTAAATCACTACATTCTCGCTAAAAAAATATTAAAACGGTATTTGGTGGCACACAAACAGGGTTTTTCAAAGTTCAGTTCTGTGAGTTTCCACATGCTGGTTGTTGTTGTTAGGTGTGGCTGTGTGCAGACAGGAATAGGACCCAAGGTGCAGACTGTCACAGGCTGGGTCTCTGACCCAGCGCTCTGAGTTCATGTTTGTATTTGTCTCATTTTGTTATGTGATTTAGTTTGTGTTATTTCCTATCTGCCTTTAGTTTAGGCAGTTATTGTTCCTGGGTTTTCTATGTTTTGGGGTTTTGTATTTATTCATCACATATTAGGTCTGTTAAGTTGTGTTGTCATGTTTTAGTTTTAGTATTTCCTGTTTTATTCTGACAATGTCATGTGTTCTTTGTTTATTGTATTTAGCTTTCCTCTCCTGGTCCTGTCATTAGGTTCATGTCTGTCAGCTGTTTCCCCCATGTGTCTCCACTTCCCCTGATCACCTCATGTATGTATTTAAGCCCTTTGTTTTCTGCATGCCAGGGTCAGGTCGTCTGCTCATCCATGTCTCAGCTCCAGGTACCCATGTCAGTTCACTATGGTTAAGGTTTTCATGTTTTGTTATTAGTTCACCCAGTTTAGGTTATTGTTTAGTTTTTACCGATGCCCTGTTATTTTGTACCCTCATTTCTAGTCTCAATAAACGGCTTGTTTTGTTAATCCACACCACGTTTTGGTCTGTGTTTGAGTCCTCCTCTGCAACACATACGGTCTGCCCCAGCCAGACCGTGACACAGACTCCGGAGACAGAACTTAAACAAAAACAGCTTTAATGCTGAACGCAAACATGGCATAACTGGAAAATGTCAAAAATAAACTAACACCGGTGGACAGGCAAAACACACAGCAAAATAAACGGTAGATTGCGACACGGACACAGAGAAACACAGGGCTTAAATACACAGAGGGAGCAATCAGGAAATGAGTAACAGGAGGGAAACACAGCTGGGGCAAATCAGAACTGACGAGACCAAAGAAGCGTAAACTGAACACACTGAGATAAGACACAGACCTTCAAAGTAAAACAGGAAACGCATAACACAGACTGAACAAAGACACAGGCTCATAAGCAGGCACTACAAAGGGAACAGAGACGTGGGAACAGGGCAGACACAAACACTGACTGAACACGGGGATATAGGAACTTAAGATACACATAGACGCGAACTAGACAAGGCGATGCAGGTGATAGGGGAGACAGAGCAACTAAAGAAGACAGAGACATAAGCCATAAGACAGAACTCAAAGAAACCAAAACTAGAAAGTATACATAATATTATAAACTCAAAACCCTGGGTCGACGACCCAGGAATCCTAACAGTTGTGTGCTAAAAACAATGGCCACCAGGCCAAAGCAATGGTTTTGACTCGATCAGTGTTAACCCCGCCTCCTGAGTTTGATGGGTGAGGTTGACAGATAAAATTATTTCATGGTGAGACCTGAAGGAGTCAACTGTGCCAAAATGAATTAATTAAATACACAATTAAATAATTATTTAAATGTGGCAATAATTAATTAAAATGTGAAATAAATAAATAAATAATTAAATGTGTCAATAATTAATTAATTAATTACATTTGTTGTAAATATTTATGTAATTAATTATTTCCGATAATTAATTAATTTGTGCATGTAAATGGTGAGTCCTCTTCACACACTGAGGTTAATTATGGAGTTCCACAGGGTTCAGTGCTAGGACCAATTCTGTTTACATTATACATGCTTCCCTTAGGCAGCATCATTAGAAGACATAGCATAAATTTCACTGCTATGCAGATGACACCCAGCTCTATCTGTCCATGAAGCCAGATAATACACACCAAACTGCAGGAATGTCTTAAAGACATAAAGACCTGGATGGCCGCTAACTTTCTGCTTCTTATTTCAGATAAAACTGAGGTTACTTTCTAGGAAGTTATATTTCATGAGAGCTTTATAAGCTAGGACAAATGATAGATAATCTGTTAATGCTTCACAGATCAACAGTAAGCTAAAAATATTTTTATCATTGCAAGGTTGTAAAAATTTGCTTTGGCTTAAATATAAACCCCTATTTAATGCCCCTGTGTACACACAGTGTATGTGTGTTTGAAGGTGAAACAGGCAGAGGTGGGACCAAGTCATTGTTTTGCAAGTCTCAAGTAAGTCTCAAGTCTTTATCCTCAAGTCTCAAGTCAAGTCTCAAGTAATGTCAGGCAAGTCAGAGTCGAGTCTCAAGTCACTGGTGTAAAAGTCCGAGTCAAGTCACAAGTCTGAAACTTTGAATTTCAAGTCCTTTCGAGTCTTTAAAAAAAAAACGAAAAAAAAATGTTGCAGTTATGCTAAATGTAAATATTAGACCATGTAATTTTAAAATCTGTGTTTTTCTCAACACATGACAAAATAGTGAACTTAGAAAATATACACAAATTGTGAAATTGCACCTCTTTAAAATGCAGCTCAATTAAACCTAGCTCCAAGAATAATTTTCACCGACAGTTCTGAGATAAGCTGCATGTTGTTCTTGGATGCGGTTGTAGGACCAGCTTTAAAATCGCATGACAAAAATATCATACACATTAAAAAAAACTGCATCACCAACGTAGCCTGGACAACATTTGCTAGTTAGATGAAGTCAGCTATCTCATCGTAGCATATTTATATGCATATTTATAATTATACGGTTCTTGGAGTGAGTGCATACACTCATGAAGTTTAGTAACTTCAGGTCACTGCAACAAGCCCAGGTACAGTTTACCGACGGATGGGTACAGGCCCTTGAAACGCACCGTGTAGAACGAAAGACCATCGTACGTATCATAAGTCTACCAGTCTCACAAATTGTCTTCATAAATACACATTCCTTAACCGTTTA